ATGGGTCCTATTACATCTGTCCAAGAAGAGTTTCAGACAAGGATTTGCATTTAAGAACAGGGTTTTGTAAATGTAGTTGACACAAGAGAATTTGTGGAGTGAGATTATGTTTAGCATGTTGAGGGAGTTAAACAAGGGGGCTGTGTGTTGTCTGAAAGCAGAATTTGATATTATTCTGATAGCAGATTTTTGCTGGGTGATGATGGACTTGAGGTGGTTTGCAGTGGTTGAACCCCATGCACAGATACTATAGTTGAGATAGGGATAGATTAGTGCATAATATAGAGAGATGAGAGCAGAGTTAGGAACATAATATCTGATTTTGGAGAGTATACCAACTGTTTTAGAGACTTTCTTAGTTATGTGTTGTATGTGGGTACTGAAGTTGAGTCTCTTGTCTAGGAATATGCCAAGAAACTTTCCATCATTTTTATTGCTAATGTTTACATTGTCAATCTGAAGCTGAATTGCATTTGTAGATTTGCTTCCGAATAGGATGTAGTAGGTCTTTTCTATGTTAAGTGTTAGTTTGTTGGTTGGCACTTTATTATGATTGTATTGGATGAATTAAGCAATTAAGTGTATCTCTTAGAGCGTGCAAATCTCTAGGTTCTGGTTTACACTTATTCACAATTCTTATTTTTTTCGATTTTATTTTTTACAAGTTTCTTTTTTACAAAAAGAGTTAAAAACATAGAAAAAAGTGCTAAATGTACTGAAATGTCTCTTTTTCTGGTGGAGCTCAAGTGGCTCCCTGAAGCTATCTCCTCAAGGTGGTTCCCAACTACGGGGTGTTACGAACCCGGATCCAGCGTCCGAGCACGGAGCAGTGACCACCGCGCCATCTGTGGGTCAGCTCCCGAAACCCCCACCAAATGGATGACGACACCTGGAGAGGGCGACGTGTACTAGCTACGAGGGTCAGTTTCCAGTCCCGTTCAGCACTCTACACCGCCGCTGCTGACCTCTGGTGAGGTGGTGCTCAGACACCAGCGCCATCTATGGAGTGGATAGGTGGGCGTTTGTGTCTGAGCCCGTAAGTGAGGTGCCTTAGTGTGTCCCAGTTATTGATGACGTGTCTGCTTACAGAGTCGACCTGGGACTGCTGTGATGAGAGTTGAGTCAGTCTACCCGAGGCAGCCGTATCCGAACCTTGAGCTTTGCTGCAGCAGTTGCGAAGTCGTCGTCCCCCCGGAAGAACACTGTGGTGTGTTAGCCTGCCAGTGGAGTGGCAGTGAAAGGTTTACCTGGGACCAACTGTTGGAGACGATCGTCCACTGGGGTATTGAGGACGGGAGACTGATTTGTGGTGTCACACGAGGCTCCTGTCCAGGGCGTTCCCCTTATATCGTTCGTGGAGTGGCCTGACCAGCGTTGCGGGTCCGGAACCTGCCAGCAGAGCCCCTGCTGGATTTGTGGTTGACGGCCTCCACGGCGGTGCCCCCAGTGGACCTGTGTTTTGGCTGACCTGTGGCCAGGGTAGGCTCGACGTCTCAGAAGAATTCGTTGTGAGGCCACGAAGAAGCACCGAGGAATCAGCACCAAGATCGAGGATCCATAGTCTTCAGCAGAAGACTACAGTGTCAATCCCCTTGTATAGTGTTAATACCCCTCCCCCTGTGTACTCCTTTTATATCTTATTTATTTATTTGGTGATGGTAATTATAATATTAAGTTCTTAACTTTCTTTCCCTACTCCCTTTAAGTTACTTGCGTCACGGATCACATCCCTTGATAGCCACTACTGGCTTGGGAACGGATATATATCTTCCTCTAACAACATCAGAGTAAGAACCCCGTTGCGTCCCGAGAGGACCGTAACACGGGGTCACAGGAGTCCTCCAGGAGTCTGCTGGAGATCAAAGCCAGAACCTGGCCTCTTGAGTGAGGTGCAAGAAGCAGGTGACTTGTCAACATCCTCACTGAGGAATCCATCCAGAAAGTCAGTCAAACTTGATAGACAACTGCAGAGTTCATGGGAAATGAAGCATCAAACCTGCCAAACTATTCATTCCAAACAATTTGTTCACTCAAAACTAGCTCACGCCCGTAAATACTTATGGCAGGCACCAATCGGCTCGAAGCCCCTGCCAAGAGCCTGTTGCAGGTCAGTTCGGAGTGATGTACAAGGAACTAACTAACCTGGCAGGGATGGAGTCTGGGAGCCACCAGAACGAGGCGTTTTATTATATTCAATGATAGTTTTGTGGGAGGAGCCGCTTCATGGCTTCTTGAAGCTAACTATAGAGCAGAAGGCAAACAAGGAACTAATCAGGGAGGATGAGGAGAAACGGCAGGTCTTAGGTCAAACAAGACCGACTGGGACCAGGAACTTTCACCAAATCCCCAGTGAGCACGATATCCAAGAGTGGTGCGAGTTCGACGATGCATCAGCATTATCAATGTAAATTAAACGTTGATGACGTTGATTCGGCGTTGAATTGGCGCTGTTCTTGGATACTGAGCCCACTGTGTTGGGCCCACAAGACCCGGTTAAACCATGTAAACCTCTAAGCCCCAAAATCCTCGACATTAAAAAAACAAAAAAATGCAGCCAAAGCTGCGTATTGATGAATATCAGAGTCCTGAGGGGAGACCACAAGCTGGTTAGCTTCCCTGACACAAGGAACGGGGTTCCCAGGGAGTGGGGTCAGCCAACATAGCACCCACGAGGCAGAACCGGTGGCACGCAGACCTGCCAGGTATCAGTCATCTCGGGACCCCTCCGGGAACCACCTGAATCATTCTTTGCCAGAAAAGGAGAAGGCGCCAGGGACCTAAGAAGAGAACCTCAGCCTGCAGAGGAGAACATAAAGCTCCCCAAAACTGCAACCTCATCTACCCAACTAGAGTGCATGCGGATTATCCATTACCTATGCCAGAGTGCATGTGGATTATCCATTACCTATGCCAGAGTGCATGCGAATTATCCATTACCTATGCCAGAGTGCATGCGGATTATCCATTACCTATGCCAGAGTGCATGCGGATTATCCATTACCTATGCCAGAGTGCATGCGGATTATCCATTACCTATGCCAGAGTGCATGCGGATTATCCATTACCTATGCCAGAGTGCATGCGGATTATCCATTACCTATGGATAATCCCCCCATGCACTCTGGCAGAGGTAATGGAGTTCTTCCACTCTGCCGCATTGCTCAAATTGATTTTATTATATATATATCACAAAAGGATCATTTACTTGTGTATTATCATTATTATTATTATTATTATTATTATCCTCATCATGACTTGAATGCTGATAAGTAGTGAGGAAAGAAGGAATATTTTGCTGACCTTCTGTTGATGGATGAATCACCGGAGCCGCAGGGCTGCGAGTATTCATGGTCGACGAAGGCAGCAACGCTAATGTTGACTTCTCCGATCACCAGAGGTTTGATCCTCACTATGTGAACGACCTTGTCCTGTGCCGGGACACAAGAGCTACGCTTCCCGAGGACAATCTGCTCAGTCGCCTCCTCCAAGATCTGGTACTCCTCACTCTCCTGCACCCTCACAGACACCTAAACCAAGACAGTAGACACATAAGAATTAATGGCATCATTAATGTTTTGAGTGACTTGAAGCAGTTACCGCTCCAGGATGATCTGTGAATGGCATGACTTAAGTTAGAATGAGGAGGTTAGACATTATCGTAAGTCACTGTTAGAAGAAGGAGCAAAGCCTAACACAGTCTGTATCTCTGGAAGCCAGGAAGACTGTGTAGCACAGTCTGTGTCGCTGGACGCCAGGAAGACTGTGTAGCACAGTCTGTGTCGCTGGAAGCCAGGAAGACTGTGTAGCACAGTCTGTGTCGCTGGAAGCCTAGAAGACTGTACTCACCTAGTTGTGCTTGCGGGGGTTGAGCTCTGGCTCTTGGGTCCCGCCTCCCAACCGTCAATCAACTGTTTACTAACTACTTTTTTTTCCACACCACACACACACACACACCTCAGGTAGCAGCCCGTGACAGCTGACTAAATCCAAGGTACCTTTTATTGCTAGGTAACAGGGGCATTCAGGGTGAAAGAAACTTTGTCATTTGTTTCTGCCTCGTGCGGGAATCGAACCCGCGCCACAGAATTACGAGTCCTGCGCGCTGTCCAAAAGGCTACAAGGCTGTGTGTGTTTGTGTGTGTGTGTACTCACCTAGTTGTGTTTGCGGGGGTTGAGCTCTGGCTCTTTGGTCCCGCCTCTCAACCGTCAATCAACAGGTGTACAGATTCATGAGCCTATCGGGCTCTGTCATATCTACACTTGAAACTGTGTATGGAGTCAGCCTCCACCACATCACTTCCTAATGCATTCCATTTGTCAACCACTCTGACACTAAAAAGTTCTTTCTAATATCTCTGTGGCTCATTTGGGCACTCAGTTTCCACCTGTGTCCCCTTGTGCGTGTTCCCCTTGTGTTAAATAGACTGTCTTTATCTACCCTATCAATCCCCTTCAGAATCTTGAATGTGGTGATCATGTCCCCCCTAACTCTTCTGTCTTCCAGCGAAGTGAGGTTTAATTCCCGTAGTCTCTCCTCGTAGCTCATACCTCTCAGCTCGGGTACTAGTCTGGTGGCAAACCTTTGAACCTTTTCCAGTTTAGTCTTATCCTTGACTAGATATGGACTCCATGCTGGGGCTGCATACTCCAGGATTGGCCTGACATATGTGGTATACAAAGTTCTGAATGATTCTTTACACAAGTTTCTGAATGCCGTTCGTATGTTGGCCAGCCTGGCATATGCCGCTGATGTTATCCGCTTGATATGTGCTGCAGGAGACAGGTCTGGCGTGATATCAACCCCCATGTCTTTTTCCTTCTCTGACTCCTGAAGAATTTCCTCTCCCAGATGATACCTTGTATCTGGCCTCCTGCTCCCTACACCTATCTTCATTACATTACATTTGGTTGGGTTAAACTCTAACAACCATTTGTTCGACCATTCCTTCAGCTTGTCTAGGTCTTCTTGAAGCCTCAAACAGTCCTCTTCTGTTTTAATCCTTCTCATAATTTTAGCATCGTCCGCAAACATTGAGAGAAATGAATCGATACCCTCCGGGAGATCATTTACATATATCAGAAACAAGATAGGACCGAGTACAGAGCCCTGTGGGACTCCACTGGTGACTTCACGCCAATCGGAGGTCTCACCCCTCACCGTAACTCTCTGCTTCCTATTGCTTAGATACTCCCTTATCCACTGGAGCACCTTACCAGCTACACCTGCCTGTCTCTCCAGCTTATGTACCAGCCTCTTATGCGGTACTGTGTCAAAGGCTTTTCGACAATCCAAGAAAATGCAGTCCGCCCAGCCCTCTCTATCTTGCTTAATCTGTGTCACCTGATCGTAGAATTCTATCAAGCCTGTAAGGCAAGATTTACCCTCCCTGAATCCATGTTGGCGATTTGTCACGAAGTCCCTTCTCTCCAGATGTGTTACCAGGTTTTTTCTCACGATCTTCTCCATCACCTTGCATGGTATACAAGTCAAGGACACTGGCCTGTAGTTCAGTGCCTCTTGTCTGTCGCCCTTTTTGTATATTGGGACCACATTCGCCGTCTTCCATATTTCTGGTAGGTCTCCCGTCTCTAGTGACTTACTATACACTATGGAGAGTGGCAGGCAAAGTGCCTCTGCACACTCTTTCAGTACCCATGGTGAGATCCCAGCTGGACCAACAGCCTTTCTAACATCCAGATCCAGCAGGTGTCTCTTGACCTCCTCTCTCGTAATTTCGAACTCCTCCAAGGCCGCCTGGTTTACCTCCCTTTCTCCTAGCACAGTGACCTCACCCTGTTCTATTGTGAAGACCTCCTGGAACCTCTTGTTGAGTTCCTCACACACCTCTCTGTCATTCTCTGTATACCTGTCCTCGCCTATTCTAAGTTTCAATACCTGTTCTTTCACTGTTGTTTTCCTTCTGATGTGACTGTGGAGTAGCTTTGGTTCGGTCTTGGCTTTGTTTGCTATATCATTTTCAAAATTTTTCTCTGCTTCTCTTCTCACCCTGACGTACTCATTCCTGGTTCTCTGGTATCTCTCTCTGCTTTCTGGTGTTCTGTTATTCCGGAAGTTCCTCCACGCCTTTTTGTTCAGTTTCTTCGCTTCCATACATGCCCTATTATACCATGGATTCTTCTGTTGCTTCTCGGATTTTTCCCTTTGGGCCGGGATGAACCTGTTTACTGCCTCCTGACACTTTTGGGTAACATAGTCCATCATACCCTGTACAGACTTGTCTCTGAGGTCTGTGTCCCAAGGTATTTCACTTAGGAAACTTCTCATCTGTTCATAATTCCCCTTTCGGTATGCCAGCCTTTTGATTCCTAGTTCTTTTTGGGGGGAGATAAGTCCTAGCTCTACCAGGTACTCAAAGTTCAATACACTGTGGTCACTCATTCCCAAGGGCGCTTCCATCTTAACTTCCCTTATATCCCATTCATTTAGGGTAAATATCAAATCAAGCATTGCTGGTTCATCTTCTCCTCTCATTCTTGTTGGTTCTTTGGTGTGCTGGCTTAGAAAGTTTCTTGTTGCCACGTCCAGCAGCTTAGCTCTCCATGTTTCTGGTCCTCCATGCGGGTCTCTGTTCTTCCAATCTATCTTCCCATGGTTGAAGTCTCCCATAATTAGTAGTACAGATCCATTCCTGCTAGCAACAGAAGCTGCTCTTTCTATTATGTTAATGGTGGCCATGTTGTTTCTATCATATTCCTGTCTAGGTCTTCTGTCATTTGGTGGTGGATTATATATGACTGCGACTATAATTTTTTTCCCTCCATTTGTTACGGTACCTGCTATGTAGTCACTGAAACCTTCGCAGCCCTGAATATCCATCTCCTCAAAATCCCAGCCTTGTCTTACCAGCAGAGCTACACCACCCCCACCTCTTCCTTCCCTCTCTTTCCTCATAACATAATAGTCCTGTGGGAACACTGCATTTGTTATCGTTTTCGTGATCTTTGTTTCTGTGAGGGCTATTATGTCTGGGTTTTCCTCTAGTACCAGTTCTCCAAGCTCATTTGCTTTATTTGTAATTCCATCTATGTTTGTGTACATCGCTTTGAGGCTCACTTTCTTCTGTCCCTTCTCAAATCGCCTCCTTGGTGAGTGTTCTGCTGGTGGGGGAGGCTGTTCCATGGGTGTGAGGACCTGTGAGGTGGATAACAGGGTCTCCGAGGATACTGGGATGAGGGGCGGGGGATCCAGTGAAGGGGGAGGGACAGGGAGGGTATGGGGTGAAAGGGGAGGGAGGACGGGAAGGAAAGGGGGGGAGGGAGGACTCGGGAGGAGGGGAGGGGTAGAAGGGTGGGGATTGGGTGTGGGGGAGGGAGATTTTGCTGAACATTTGAGTGGGGGCAGGGAGGGTTTGGGGTAGGGGGGTTTTCTATGCAGTGGAGGGAGGCGGGGTTGTCCTCCCTTCTGGTGTTACTGGGTAGCTGGTTGTGGGTTCCCCCCTCGCCTCTGGGGGTGTGGGTTGGGAGCTGTGACTTCCTGGTTTTCCCCTCTCGCCCTGCGTCTCTTCCTTGCTTCTGCCGCCACGGCTCTCTCCTCTCTTGTCATGTCTCTCTGGAGGAATACATTTTTTAATTTTCCCACGTTTTTCAGGGAGCTCTTCCTTGATAGGATCTTCTCCTTTGTGTTCTCGTTTGCAAACACTATCTTTATCATTCGGTCTCGGTCTTTGTTGTACCGGCCTAGCCTGAAAACCTTCTCAATGCTATGCTCAGCCCCTTCCATGTCTAGTGCCTTTAGTACTTCATTCACTGCTGCTTTGTCCTTGTCACTCCATTCTGTCCTTTTAGATCCTTCCTGCTCCTTAATACCCACAGCAACCACTGATCTGTTCCTTTCCAGCAGTTGGCTAGTGGAGCGTGCCGCCTCCTGCGAGGTGGCTGCTTTCATGGCCACCTCCATCACTGCAGTCATTACTTCAGAGTTATTTTTTTTTAGTATTTCCGCAAATGTTGCTTTTATTGTGGCATTCTCATCCAGAAAACTATTACCACCTTCTCCCTGGGTGGTTTTCTGATTCTCAGCCTCGATACCATTTTCTTTGAGGGCTCTAATCTCCTCCTTTGCTGCTGTCAGCTCTCTTTTCAGGTTGCTTATTTCGTTCTTCATTTCCTGCATCATTTCTTGCATCTCACTCTTGATGTCCTCCAGAAACTGGGCGAACATTTCCTTCATCTCGTCACCTTGGCTCTTTCCTGTTCCCCTGGGACCTCTGGCTGCCATGCTTGACCCTGTTGGGATGGGGGAGGGAGAGAGAGAGAGAGAGAGGAAGAGAGAGAGAAAGAGAGAGAGAGAAAGGGAGTGATAAAGGGAGAGATAAATGGGTGGGTGGGGGGGATCCAGAGCCTTCCACTGAAGTGAGAAGAAAGTAGAAGGGGAGGGGGGGGGGAGGAGATGGAGAGAGAGGCGGGAGGGAGAGAGAGGCGGGAGGGAGAGAGAGGAGAGGGAGAGAGTGGGTGAGGGAGAGAGCGGGTGAGGGAGAGAGCGGGTGAGGGAGAGAGCGGGTGAGGTGTGTGTGTGTGTGTGTGTGGGCAGAGAGGGAGGGGGAAGGAAAGAGAGGGAGGGAGAGGGGGAGGGAGGGAGAGAGGGAGGGAGAGAGAGAGAGAGGGAGAGAGAGAGGGGAGGGAGAGAGAGAGAGAGAGAGAGAGAGAGAGAGAGAGAGAGAGAGCAGGAGAGAGAGAGAGAGAGAGCAGGAGAGAGAGAGAGAGAGAGAGCAGGAGAGAGAGAGCAGGAGAGAGATAGTGGGAGAGGGAGAGAGGGAGTGGGAGAGAGGGAGAGTGGGGAGGGGAAGAGTGTGTGTATGGGCGATGCGGGGGACTGGGGGTGGGGGGGGGGGGGAGATGGCGACTAAGTCAGGTCAGGTCCGATGGTGGGGTCAAGATGGGGGGGGGATAGTAAGGTCCTATCCCAGATGCCTTTTCCCCTGACTGGACAATTGTGTGTGTGTGTGTGTGTGTGCACGCGTGTGTGTGTCTGTTTTAGCGTGTGCACACTTGTGTGCGTGTATGTGTCAAGATATCCCTTATGCGTTACCTCTGCCTAAATGAGCCACTCTGAGATTTTTAAATATATATGATATCCTGAACGAGAATTTGATAATCTTTTACCTCAATCTGTACACCTGATTAATTGACCAGAGAGGGGTACATACCAGTCTGCCTCCCGCTCACACAACCAGATGAGCGATGTATGATGACGATGGTTATCCGTCGTTGTCTCCCACTAGGTGATTCATTAAGTGCTGGTAGATTGATGAGGTCGTTCTTCTCTTTCAACACAAAGCTCTGGAGTCAGTCACTGTATCGTTATGTGACAGTTCACTAATTCACTGTACCACTGATCACAGTCACCACTCAACAGCACAATCAGGTAGCTCCACGGCGGGTCGTCCCACCCGGTCAGGTCACACACTTACATGCACCGGTGATGCCCTAGCTCCACTTTTCGTTTCTTCGCCAAATCTTCGCACTATCACTAGCGATATGACTATGCTATGTTGCACCCTGCTAGCTACACACTGCGAGAGGCCAAATACTATGATCTAGCCTCTATACTCCTTCAATGTCCCGAGAAATTGACGAATTTCCGCGGACCTCACTAATCGCGTGTGTCTCCTACCTTCTCCGCGCGCTTTGTAACTCTGTATCTATGTATGCACTTTTCCTGAATAATTATTATTCAGGAAATATACACATTTGTAAGTTCCTTATCCACACCACACGGCCAATATCTGCATCGCCAATATCCACACCTACACATCCATAACCAGATTTACACGTCCTATAACCACATCTACATGTCTAATGTGTGTGTGTGTGTGTGTGTGTGTACTCACCTAGTACTCACCTAGTTGTGTTTGCGGGGGTTGAGCTCTGGCTCTTTGGTCCCGCCTCTCAACCGTCAATCAACAGGTGTACAGATTCCTGAGCCTATCGGGCTCTGTCATATCTACACTTGAAACTGTGTATGGAGTCAGCCTCCACCACATCACTTCCTAATGCATTCCATTTGTCAACCACTCTGACACTAAAAAAGTTCTTTCTAATATCTCTGTGGCTCATTGGGCACTCAGTTTCCACCTGTGTCCCCTTGTGCGTGTTCCCCTTGTGTTAAATAGACTGTCTTTATCTACCCTATCAATCCCCTTCAGAATCTTGAATGTGGTGATCATGTCCCCCCTAACTCTTCTGTCTTCCAGCGAAGTGAGGTTTAATTCCCGTAGTCTCTCCTCGTAGTCATACCTCTCAGCTCGGGTACTAGTCTGGTGGCAAACCTTTGAACCTTTTCCAGTTTAGTCTTATCCTTGACTAGATATGTGTGTGTGTGTGTGTGTGTGTGTGTGTGTGTGTGTGTGTGTGTGTGTGTGTGTGTGTGTGTGTGTGTGTGTGTGTGTACTCACCTAGTTGTGTTTGCGGGGGTTGAGCTCTGGCTCTTTGGTCCCGCCTCTCAACCGTCAATCAACAGGTGTACAGATTCCTGAGCCTATTGGGCTTTATCATATCTACACTTGAAACTGTGTATGGAGTCAGCCTCCACCACATCACTTCCTAATGCATTCCATTTGTCAGCCACTCTGACACTAAAAAAGTTCTAAAAAAGTTAAAAAAGGCCAGGCATAGTTCACCATCTTTCGGTGTGTGTGTGAGTGTTGCTGGCAAGTCAGAGATAAAGAGGCGGACTTACAGGTATGGGTTGGTCGAGGTAGTTGAAGACAGACATCTTGACGGGGAGGATCTCTCCACGCTTGAGAGAGGGGGGAAGGGTGAGGTCGACGAAGAAGGGGGTGAAGGTGGTGATGGACTTCCTCTGGGAGAGTCCTACGCCCTTCTGTGGGTGGGCACACACGGCCTTGCCCACCCACTGTGTGATGGTGTCCGGTACAGTCACCTGCTGGGTGCTCACGCCTGACGACCTGCCAATAACCACATACAACACTAATTATTACATTTACACCTTTATGCCAAAACTGTAACCAAGTTCATAATTATTCCAACACTGATGATATATATATTCTGATTTCAATTATCACTGAGAACTTCCCAGTAAACGTGATGATTAGTGAAGGAGTGTTCATCATCCTCATCATACTGACGCATCTCAGGAGGCCGTGATTTAATGTGCAACAATTGATCATCACTCACCGGTTATAGTATAACAATTGACCATCACGTGCAACTCCACACAGTCAATCTCCACCTACCGACAGGTTGACAGCCAGCCCCTCCACCCACCGACACGTCGACAGCCAGATCCTAAGCCCACTGATACGTCGACAGCCAGCCACACCAGTAGCCGACCCGTCGACAGCCAGACCGTCCACCCACCTACACGTCGACAGCCAGCCCCTAAACCCAACGACATGTCGACAGCCAGATCCTCAACCAACTGACACGTCGACAGCCAGACCCTCCAACCACCGACACTTTGACAGCTAGCCCCTGTACCCACCAACACGTCGACAGCTAGCCCCTGTACCCACCGACACGTCGACAGCCAGCACCCTCCACCCACCGACACGTCGACAGTCAGCCCCTCCACCCACCGACATGTCGACAGCCAGATCCTCACCCAACTGACACGTCGACAGCCAGACCCTCCAACCACCGACACTTTGACAGCTAGCCTCTGTACCAACCGACACGTCGACAGCTAGCCCCTGTACCCATCGACACGCCGACAGCCATCCCCCTTCCCCCACCGACACGTCGACAGCCAGCCCCTCCACCCACCAACACGCCGACAGCCAGCCCCTCCACCCACCAACACATCGACAGCCAGCACCCTCTACCCACCGACACGTCGACAGCCAGCACCCTCTACCCACCGACACGTCGACAGCCAGCCCCTCCACCCACCAACACATCGACAGCCAGCACCCTCTACCCACCGACACGTCGACAGCCAGCCCCTCCACCCACCGACATGTCGACAGCCAGTCCCTCCACCCACCAACACGCCGACAACCAGCCCCTCCACCCACCAACACATCGACAGCCAGCACCCTCTACCCACCGACACGTCGACAGCCAGCACCCTCTACCCACCGACACGTCGACAGCCAGCCCCTCCACCCACCGACACGTCGACAGCCAGCACCCTCCACCCATCAACACGTTGAAAGCCAGCCCCTCCACCCACCAAAACGCCGACAGCCAGCCCCTCCACCCACCGACCTGTCAACAGCCAGCCCCTCCACCCACCGACACGTCGACAGTCAGCCCCTCCACCCACCAACACGTCCAGCCAGCACCTCCACCCACCGACACGTCGACAGTCAGCCCCTCCACCCACCGACACGTCGACAGCCAACACCTCCACTCACCGACACGTCGACAGCCAACACCTCCACTCACCGACACGTCGACAGCCAGCACCCTCCACCCACCGACACGTCAACAGCCAACATCCTCCACCCACCGACACGTCGACAGCCAGCCTTTCCACCCACCGACACGTCGACAGCCAGCACGCTCTACCCACCGACATGTCGACAGCCAGCCCCTCCACCCACCGACACATCGACAACCAGCACCCTCTACCCACCGACACGTCGACAGCCAGCCCCTCCACCCACCGACACGTCGACAGCCAGCACGCTCTACCCACCGACACGTCGACAGTTAGCCTCTCCACCCACCAACACGTCGACAGCTAGCCCATTCATCCACCAACACGTCGACAGCCAGCCCCTCCACCCACCGACACGTCGACAGCCAGCCTCTCCACCATCCGACACGTCGACAGCCAGCCCCTTCATCCACCAACACGTCGACAGCCAGCCCCTCCACCCACCGTCGACAGCCAGCACCCTAAACCACCGACACGTCGACAGCTAGCCCCTCCACCCACCGACACGTTGACAGCCAGCCCCTTCATCCACCGACATGTCGACAGCCAGCCCCTCCACCCACCGACACGTCGACAGCCAGCCCCTCCACCCTGCGACACGTCGACAGCCAGCCCCTCCACCCACCGACACGTCAACAGCCAGCCCCTCCACCCTGCGACACGTCGACAGCCAGCCCCTCCACCCACCGACACGTCAACAGCCAGCCCCTCCACCCACCGTTACGTCGACAGCTAGCCCCTCCTCCCACCAACACGTCGACAGTCAGACCCTCCACTCACCGACACGTCGACAGCTAGCACCCTCCACCCACCGACACGTCGACAGCCAGCCTCTCCACCCACCGACACGTCGATAACCAGCCCTTAATCTACCCACCGACGCGTCGACAGTTAGCCCCTTCAAACATCGAAAGGTCGACAGTCAGCCCCTCCTGACCTAGAGAGCGTGCAGAGATCCTTTACTGCTAGAATCCACTCAGTAAAACATCTAAATTACTGGGACCGACTAAAGAGCCTAAATCTGTACTCCCTTGAGCGCAGGCGGGAGAGATACATAATAATTTACACGTGGAAAATAATTGAGGGGCTGGTCCCAAACCTGCACACAGAAATAGCACCACATGAGACCAGAAGACATGGCAGGATGTGCAGAATACCCCCGTTGAAAAGGAGAGGTGCAACAGGTACTCTGAGAGAGAACTCTATCAACATCAGAGGCCCGAGACTGTTCAACACGCTTCCACTACACATAAGGGGCATAACTGGCAAACCCCTCACAGTGTTCAAGAGAGAACTGGATAAGCACCTCCAAAGGATACCTGATCAACCAGGCTGTGACTCATACGTCAGGCTGCGAGCAGCCGCGTCTAACAGCCTGGTTGATCAGTCCAGCAACCAGGAGGCCTGGTCGACGACCGGGCAGCGGGGACACTAAGCCCCGGAAGCACCTCAAGGTAGGTACCCACCGACACGTCGATATCCAGCCCCTCCACCCACCGACACGTTGACAGCTAGCCCCTCCTCCCACCGACACGTCGACAGTCAGCACCTCCACCCACTGACAAATAGTGCAGAAATGTGTGACACTAGAGCAAGATAAGTGTTAAGTTTTTCTAGTAAGTGGAATGAAATGTCAGAAGTTCCAAGGTGGTCTGAATTAAGTTCTATCGTGCTCTGCATGAATGTAAATTATATGTATTATGGATTTGAACTATTGCTGGAAACCTTTCGAAATAAAGATCAAATGCAACACCCAATATAGTCTGTGAAGATCAGTGTTCACAGACAAACAAAACGAAACAACTTCACACATACAACTATAAGTTGGAGACTTACGGGACAACGATGATGTCCCAGAGCCAAGTCTCTGGGAAATTGGTCCTAGGAACATCTGGCTGTTGTTCGCTGCCTTTCTTACTGGCGCTGTCTGTGGCGAAGGGCGGCGGGGGTGACTGGGGCCGGGCGGCGGCGGGCGCAACGCCATCAGCGAGGCCGCCACCAAAACCACCCACAGGTCTACCACCCTCTGCCAAGTGGTGCACACTCTCTAAATAGTGACGACGCTCTGTAAAGTCAAGAGTTTTTATGTTCATCAGAAGATTCAAGTTAAGCAATTGCCCGCTCAACCACTTGGGCTGGACGGTAGAGCGACGGTCTCGCGTCAGGCAGTTCTGTGTTCAATCCTCGACCGTCCAAGTAGTTGAGCACCATTCCTTCCACACCAACCAATCCCAAATCCGTATCCTGACCCCTTCCAAGTGCTATACAGTTGTAGTGACTTGGCGTTTTCCCCTTGATAGTTCCCTTCCCTTCCTTCTTCTCCCCTCTCCCCTCCCCCCACAAAAGGCACCGAGCTCAAAAGACTACTTACCTTCGCATGTGTCAGATATAAAATCAAATCTCAAGATATAATTTAGTATGGCACAACATGTGCATCTACACCAAGGTAATGTGCACAACACTAGCAGGGGTAACATCATGTGCACCTACACCACAGTAGTGTGCACAACACTTGCGGGGGTAACATCTTGTGCACCTACACCACGGTCGTGTGCACAACACTAGCGGGGGGGGGGGGGTAAAATCATGTGCACCAACACCACAGACTCAAGCCTCCAGCCTGAGTCAGTGTTACGAACAAAACTCCCGAGCCCGAGCACGAAGCCGTAAAGTCCACGCCATCTGTGAGTCCGCTCCCAAAAACCCCACAACATGGACAACGCCATCTAGTGGTGACAGGATATGCCAGCAACAGGCGCTGGATTCCTGTCCTAGTCGGCTCGCGAAATAGCCGCTGCTGACCTCTGGTGAGGTGGCGCTTAGACAGTGAATGCCATCTATGGAGCGAAGAGGTGGACGTTTGTGTCTAAGCTAGTAAGTGATGTTTCCTAGTGGTCCCATGTAGTGTCCCAGTACTGATGACGTGTCTGGTTTCAGAGTCAACCTAGGACTGCTGCGTTGGACGATGGATCAATCTACCCAAGGCAGCCAAGGTCTCTACACCAGTCTGCTTTGAAGAAGCTGTGAGCCACCCCCGGACGAAATCTACTGAGAGTGTAATTGCCTGCCTGAGGAGTGGCAGTGACGGGAATCGCCGTATCCGGGGCTGGCTGGTGGAAGAGACTACCCACTGCGGTGCCGAATGAAGAGAGTGACCAGCGAGTCACACGAGGCTCCTGCCTAGGGCTCGTAACCCTAGAATTAGTCGTGGAGTGGCCTAACAGCGATGCTGATTGGTACCTGCCAGCTACAGGCTGGACTGTGGTTGTAGACCATCCCGACGAGGCACCCAGTGGGATTGTGATTTGGCTGGCCCGTGGCCAGGGTAGATTCATCATGGATTCATCGTGGGCCACGGAAAAGGAAACCAAGAAAGGCTACCCAGAGTAAGCGTCGCCAAGTGTCCAGCGTCTTCAGAGAGGGAGACTATCATTGTTCATATAGTGTAGTAACACATCCGCCTAAGTTTTATATTTTATATGGTGGTGGAGATTATATATGGAGGAAAGTGCTAATTTTGTATATTTAAAGTACCTTCATTGTTGCTTTAACTTGCATTATGGGGCACACCCCTTGAAAGCCTCTACTAACTTGGGGCCGGATACCCAAACTCTAATACCATCAGAGAAGAACCCGGTTGCGTCCCAGTAGGGCCGTAACAGTCAGCATATCCAATTACTGATTAACTGAATTTGTCTTTGAGTTTGACTTGATATAATATTATTATTACTACAACTATTATCATAATGTTCGGGCTTTTAACTTTTTAAAGCTGAAATAAAAATTTACTTTACATATTTACAATTGAAAAATATAAATGAATAATTATTGTGCATTTCAAATTTGTGATTTAATACTTCCGAATTTTATTACATTTTGAATATGATGTGATTTTATGGAAGTGGGAGAAGAAAGGTGCTCCTGGTCTTGTTTGGCAGTAAATATGCAGGTACAAATAACAGTACAAAATATTTATAGCAATACAGTCAGTTATAATCATGTAACACTTACAATTAGGAGTCTGAGAAAACAACCTGTTCTCGCACTTGCTTACAGTTATTATTGGCTTATTTAATAAGTGCATATGTGACATACTAATTGATTGTGAATATTTTAGTTTACCTTGAAAAGCTTCATAGAAAACACCGACCTCACCTAACCTTCTTAGTATGTTAAGATAAGCATCTTATTGCTTCTTATTTACAATTATTACTTAACCTATCAACGGTATAGGTTATAATTTACAATTATTACTTAACCTATCAACGGTATAGGTTAAGTAATAATTGTAATTAAGAAGCAGTAAGATGCTTATCTTAACATACTAAGAAGGTTAGGTGCGGTCGGTGTTTTCTATGAAGCTTTTCAAGGTAAACTAAAATATTCACAATCAATTAGTATGTCACATATGCACTTATTAATAAGCCAATATTGACTATAAGCAAGTGCGAGAACGGGTTGGAGAAAAACAGCTGAATGACAAAGCAAACATTGATAATTTTGACATTGGGAAGAGAGGCCGTTGATGAAGAGAAGTGAACATTACCTTCCTCACACGGTCTCGTCTCTAGTGTCAAGTCGCTGAAGACGAACAAACCAGAGTTCTGAAAAACAAGTTAAAGAATTAATACATGTTTTACAATGGCAGAAAGGCATCACAAATAACGGAGACTATAAGAACTATATTTATTACAAAACTTACCAAGAACATCAATACCAATAATAATTCAAACGATAATGTCAAGAAACTTCACTAACTGCTAGAAAATTAAACTGCATAATATATCTGGCGTTGTCTCCAGTTGTTTTAATACGAATCAATGCTACTATTAGTACGTCCTTCACACGATGATAACTGAATATTAGGCAAGACTCGAAGTCAGCAAAGACCCAAGCAAGAGCTCCCTAGAGGTCAGCAAAGACCCAAGCAAGAGCTTCCAGGAGTTCAGCAAAGACCCAAGCAAAAGCTTCCAGGAGGTCAGTGATGACCCAAGCAAGAGCTTCCAGGAGGTCAGCAAAGACCCAAGCAAGAGCTTCCAGGAGGTCAGCAAAGACCCAAGCAAGAGCTTCCAGGAGGTCAGCAAAGACCCAAGCAAGAGCTTCCAAGAGGTCAGCAAAGACCCAAGCAAGAGCTTCCAGGAGTTCAGCAAAGACCCAAGCAAGAGCTTCCAGGAGGTCAGTGATGACCCAAGCAAGAGCTTCCAGGAGGTCAGCAAAGACCCAAGCAAGAGCTTCCAGGAGGTCAGCAAAGACCCAAGCAAGAGCTTCCAGGAGGTCAGCAAAGACCCAAGCAAGAGCTTCCAAGAGGTCAGCAAAGACCCAAGCAAGAACTTCCAGGAGGTCAACAAAGACCCATGCAAGAGCTTCCAGGAGGTCAGCAAAGACCCAAGCAAGAGCTTCCAAGAGGTCAGCAAAGACCCAAGCAAGAGCTTCCAAGAGGTCAGCAAAGACCCAAGCAAGAACTTCCAGGAGGTCAACAAAGACCCATGCAAGAGCTTCCAGGAGGTCAGCAAAGACCCAAGCAAGAGCTTCCAGGAGGTCAGCAAAGACCCAAGCAAAAGCTTCCAGGAGGTCAGCAAAGACCCAAGCAAGAGCTTCCAGGAGGTCAGCAAAGACCCAAGCAAGAGCTTCCAGGAGGTCAGTGATGACCCAAGTAGAAGCTTCCAGGAGGTCAGTGATGAACCAAACAAGTGCTTCCAGGAGGTCAGTGATGACCCAAGCAAGAGCTTCCAGGAGGTCAGTGATGACCCAAGCAAGAGCTTCCAGGAGGTCAGTGATGACCCAAGCAAGAGCTTCCAGGAGGTAAGCAAAGACCCAAGCAAGAGCTTCCAGGAGGTCAGCAAAGACCCAAGCTAGAACTTCCAGGAGGTCAGCAAAGACCCAAGCAAGAGCTTCCAAGAGGTCAGCAAAGACCCAAGCAAGAGCTTCCAGGAGTTCAGCAAAGACCCAAGCAAGAGCTTCCAGGAGGTCAGTGATGACCCAAGCAAGAGCTTCCAGGAGGTCAGCAAAGACCCAAGCAAGAGCTTCCAGGAGGTCAGCAAAGACCCAAGCAAGAGCTTCCAGGAGGTCAGCAAAGACCCAAGCAAGAGCTTCCAAGAGGTCAGCAAAGACCCAAGCAAGAGCTTCCAGGAGGTCAGCAAAGACCCATGCAAGAGCTTCCAGGAGGTCAGCAAAGACCCAAGCAAGAGCTTCCAGGAGGTCAGCAAAGACCCAAGCAAAAGCTTCCAGGAGGTCAGCAAAGACCCAAGCAAGAGCTTCCAGGAGGTCAGCAAAGACCCAAGCAAGAGCTTCCAGGAGGTCAGTGATGACCCAAGTAGAAGCTTCCAGGAGGTCAGTCATGAACTAAACAAGTGCTTCCAGGAGGTCAGTGATGACCCAAGCAAGAGCTTCCAGGAGGTCAGTGATGACCCAAGCAAGAGCTTCCAGGAGGTCAGTGATGACCCAAGCAAGAGCTTCCAGGAGGTCAGTGATGAACCAAACAAGTGCTTCCAGGAGGTCAGTGATGACCCAAGCAAGAGCTTCCAGGAGGTCAGTGATGACCCAAGCAAGAGCTTCCAGGAGGTCAGTGATGACCCAAGCAAGAGCTTCCAGGAGGTCAGTGATGACCCAAGCAAGAGCTTCCAGGAGGTCAGTGATGACCCAAGCAAGAGCTTCCAGGAGGTCAGTGATGACCCAAGCAAGAGCTTGCAGGAAGTCAGTGATGACCCAAGCAAGAGCTTCCAGGAGGTCAGTGATGACCCAAGCAAGAGCTTCCAGGAGGTCAGTGATGACCCAAGCAAGAGCTTCTAGGAGGTCAGTGATGACCCAAGCAAGAGCTTCCAGGAGGTCAGTGATGATCCAAGTAGGAGCTTCCTGGAGGTCAGTGATGAACCAAACAAGTGCTTCCAGAAGGTCAGTGATGACCCAAGCAAGAGCTTCCAGGAGGTCAGTGATGACCCAAGCAAGAGCTTCCAGGTCAGTGATGACCCAAGCAAGAGCTTGCAGGAAGTCAGTGATGACCCAAGCAAGAGCTTCCAGGAGGTCAGTGATGACCCAAGCAAGAGCTTCCAGGAGGTCAGTGATGACCCAAGCAAGAGCTTCCAGGAGGTCAGTGATGACCCAAGCAAGAGCTTCCAGGAGGTCAGTGATGACCCAAGCAAGAGCTTCCAGGAGGTCAGTGATGACCCAAGCAAGAGCTTCCAGGAGGTCAGTGATGACCCAAGCAAGAGCTTCCAGGAGGTCAGTGATGACCCAAGCAAGAGCTTCCAGGAAGTCAGTGATGACCCAAGCAAGAGCTTCCAGGAAGTCAGTGATGACCCAAGCAAGAGCTTCCAGGAGGTCAGTGATGACCCAAGCAAGAACTTCCAGGAGGTCAGTGATGACGAAGCAAGAGCTTCTAGGAGGTCAGTGATGACCCAAGCAAGAGCTTCCAGGAGGTCAGTGATGATCCAAGTAGGAGCTTCCTGGAGGTCAGTGATGAACCAAACAAGTGCTTCCAGGAGGTCAGTGATGACCCAAGCAAGAGCTTCCAGGAGGTCAGTGATGACCCAAGCAAGAGCTTCCAGGAGGTCAGTGATGACCCAAGCAAGAGCTTCCAGGAGGTCAGTGATGACCCAAGCAAGAGCTTCCAGGAGGTCAGTGATGACCCAAGCAAGAGCTTCCAGGAAGTCAGTGATGACCCAAGCAAGAGCTTCCAGGAAGTCAGTAATGACCCAAGCAAGAGCTTCCAGGAGGTCAGTGATGACCCAAGCAAGAACTTCCAGGAGGTCAGTGATGACGAAGCAAGAGCTTCTAGGAGGTCAGTGATGACCCAAGCAAGAGCTTCCAGGAGGTCAGTGATGATCCAAGTAGGAGCTTCCTGGAGGTCAGTGATGAACCAAACAAGTGCTTCCAGGAGGTCAGTGATGACCCAAGCAAGAGCTTCCAGGAGGTCAGTGATGACCCAAGCAAGAGCTTCCAGGAGGTCAGTGATGACCCAAGCAAGAGCTTCCAGGAGGTCAGTGATGACCCAAGCAAGAGCTTCCAGGAGGTCAGTGATGACCCAAGCAAGAGCTTCCAGGTCAGTGATGAACCAAGCAAGAGCTTCCAGGAGGTCAGTGATGACCCAAGCAAGAGCTTCCAGGAGGTCAGTGATGAACCAAGCAAGAGCTTCCAGGAAAAATGTACAATACCGTTCCAGCATTCGCCACCTGAAGATGTGAACATACACGAGACCACTCTCCGGGAAGCCATTCAGCTGCAGCAAAGCAATTCCAGTCATCATCCCAGGAAACACAAAACGAAAGAATTATTTGTTCTACAGTTAAGAAGTTAAAGAGTAAGAGCTGACTCAACATCTTTAGAAAGTATCTGAAGAGAAGGAAGAACTCTGTTAAGAGCAGTGATATCTGAAGCAAGACGAGTTTCTAAAGAGGTGAAGGAACCAAGATGGTTTGAGTGGTGTCAAACTCTAAATGAACATAATAGTCTTGGAGAGACATGAGGCCAGATTAAAGCCATATCAGGGTGACCATTCCGACCACAGACATATATTCAACAAATACAAGAGGTTGAGAGACTTCCTCTCCAATTTCCAGAGAGAGCAGCTTAACATCAGCTTACTGCAACGGTCAGAACAAGTAAATCATGAGAGGTTGACAGCCATTCATGAGAACATAGCTATATTCAACGAATGAGGATGAATGAGAATATTCCCTTCAACGAATGAGGCTGTCCCTTCACCAAACAAGAAGGTTCTCTCGCTGGAGAATAAGCCATATTGGACGCTATATATGCATCTGGGGTAAACTACCGACCTCTTAGAAGAAAGGAGACATAATTCCGTTTCCTGAGCCAAAAGAACCTGGCAATTAGAGACCCATTATCATCATGTTGCAGGACTGAAGGTCTTAAATAGGCTTCTGTGGAAAACTGGAGGTCTGCATTAGTACATATTTGACTTCACTAGAGCAGTAGGTACTGCCAACGGCATAGCAACATTACTAGGAACAGTTAACTCAGGTTCTGCTATAATAATCTCCGTATATTTAGGGAAAGGATTCGAACTTGCAAGTCCGCAATCAATTTTATAGATGTTAAAAAAAAAGTGTCGGAGGAAAACTGCCTTGATTCAAAATGACCTGAAAGGTATGCCAGAGTAAACCTGCAAGGCCAAGTGTCAGGTTACCAGTTGCATGAGAATGGGACTCCACAAGGAGGAGTTACAGACTCAGTGCTAGTCATTAACATCCTTATGAAAAACCTCGCTTCCCTGACATTTCCAGAAAGGGTTAAATTCCTAAGCTATGCTGATGTATCATTAGTCGTCACAGGTCCTTCTCTTTTGAATAAAGTCCAAATGACGCTAGATAAAGTAACATTTGAATGGTGTATTTTTGGACAAAAAATATCGGCACATAAATCTAAAGCAATGAGACTGGGTGGCAATAATCAGGAGTCACCTACGCATTCAAGACATTAATCTTCAAGGGTTACACAATATCAATATCTCGGAGTATGGATTGGTTCTAAAAACATTCAACAAGCAAATTTAATGTCTGAAGGAGAAATCAAAATCACGACTGAATATAATGAAAATAATCACAGGGCCCCATCCAGGAGCGAGACACAGAGTGTTAATAATGTT